AAGGTTATTCTTTTATATTGAGGTGTTTCCTATCAAGAAGGTTCATCAAAAGAAGCATGGTTTTTGTTATCCTCTGATAGAATCACTCAAAGGCAAAACCATGCCTAATGGATCAGACACTGAAGTGAGATTCAGGGAATCACCTGGATCCTGGTGTCAGTTCTAATTCAGTAGCTATGTGGCTCTGGGTAATGCCCTTCACCTACCAGAATATGGTAAAGGACTCTGATTTTTAAGATGGATATATTACACAAGCCAGGCTATTTACTTCCACAAGCACAGTAACCTTATTTATTACTCCTACTTAAAACAAATTTCCCTCAGGTGCATGACAAAGTACCTGCTCAAGCATCAGGCCCACCATGCTATATGATTTCTGCTTATCTTCACTTCTCAAAGATTGATGAATTTCACAAGGCCTCTATATAGAGGAATACTGCAGTTATTTCTGCAATAGTTTGAACAGAACGAGTTTCAGCTCTCGTTTATGTTTTACAATAAATTTTATTATACAGATTATGTTGAAAAAACTTTGAACTGTTTCCCTAGGGTTTAAACTTATAGTCTGCTATTTAAGCAGAAAACCCTTGTCCTAACTTGTATTTGCAATAGCCAACACCATTAGATCATGATTATTCATTAGGTGGCTGTTTTCTTCAATCACCTTCTGAAGTGAACAATTATATATGCTCATTTCCCCTCTTGGTCTTCAACATTGAACCGCATTGTCCCTCCCTCCTTCCTAGGTGTCAAGTGTTAGTCACTCATGCACTTCTGTCTTCAAGGCCTGCATGCTGCAGTTGTAAAACTGGTTTCCTAAGCCTGCATTTGATTATTGGATTCACTAAATGTAAAACACACCTAGCCCAATAAAAATATGCTAGTGGATTAGGTTTCTTAACAGGAATTCACACATAATAGCAATGGACAAAAATTGCTTGGAAAAACATTCGTATGTCACATAGGTAAATACGGGTATATTGAAAGCAACAACAATGAGCACAATAGAAATGAAATAATTCTGTGAAATACTGTCTCTTTCCTACAGGTCTAGAGTTCCCTTTTCAAAAATTCAATGGCTCTGAAATTAGCTTTTCATTTCCAAAGTTATATTCAGGCTGTCTACGATCATCTCAAGGTCCCACCAAGAGATATTTTCTTAACATCGCTTTGGTGGAAGATTTTCCGGGCCTCCTTGGGAATCACATTCTTTTTAAAAAAATTTCTCATAAGATTTCTCTAATTTTCCACAAAATACTAAATAATATTTTTGGCAATGAGTCTCATTTATCCTAAATATGTACTGCATTGACCAAAGAGAGCCCTGGAGGTATAATAGCCTACCAGAATTCTTCCATATTGGACCAAAAAGTACAGACCTTCATTGCCCATTTTGGAATAGGTACTGTCCACTTCATACCTGTACTACTAAGGGAGGCTCTCTCTAGTATCTTGCCCCAGGACCTTAATTCTTTTTATTTATCTCATGAGGTTCTGCCAGTTTAAAGAAAGTCTTCTTTTTTTTTTTTTTTTTCTGTCCTGTAGAGCCCTGTCCCTTTTCTGAAGGGGTCAGGAAAAGTTTGATTTCGTGAATTATCAGGATTTTATCTCAAAGTTTGGCTGAGAGTGGTGTACTTTACAGGCTCTTATGTCCTACACAAGAGGAAATAATTACAACTGTAGGTGTAAAGAATACTTTGTAACAATTAAGAATGACAGACTATCTTTTCCCTCACAGAGGAAAGAAGAAATAAAATACTAAAATGAAATTACTGAACATTCACAGAATTGTGAAAATGACTGTGGTGGGGCCACCTTGTTTCCCATAAGTGGTCACAAGTGGTCTCTTAATGAGATGGAAGAGGCAGGAGATATGCCTATAATTAGTTCAAAATGCATATCTCCTATGTGTTGATTTTGTGCCTCTAAAATTAATGTATCTATGCCATAAACACTCATATGTGTTCATATGTGATCACATTTGGAGATAGAGTATTTACCAAGTAATCAAGATAAAATACGTTCATCAGAGTAGGTCTTAATTCAAATGAGTTATATCCATATAAAAAGGGAAAATAAGACATAGATACATACATATAGGAAAGAAAATGTGGGGAGGTATAGGGAGATTTCAGATATCTACAAGTCAAGGAAAGTGGCCAGTAATGGAGGCCCCTTATGCATTCACACCTTGCGTAAGATCCAACTCAGATGAAACCTTGATTTGGACTTAGAGCCTCCACAAGTATGAGACAATAAATAAATGTGTTTAATTGGCCCAATCACTAGCATTTTGTACAGGAGCTCTAGAATACTTGAAAGTGTTGAAAGTGTTAGTCGCTCAGTCATGTCCGACTCTTTGTGACTCCATGGACTGTAGCCTGCCTCACTCTTCTGTCCATGGAATTTTCCAGGCAAGAACACTGGAGTGGGATTCCATTTCCTACTCCAGGGGATCTTCCGGACCCAGGGATTGAACCTGAGTCTCCTGCATTGCAAGTGGATTCTTTACTATTTGGCCATTTTCTAATACTTATATAATATTTAAATGATCTTAATTAGGTTTATAAAATGAACAATAAAGTAGATAAATAATCATAATTCTTACTCTACTGTTACCAGGCCTGAACACCCCAGGAAGACCATTATTGGTTTAGTCAGGATAACCTCGCTGTAGGGTGGCTCAGTGACTGTGGCTACCAGTTTTGAGTCCTTCCTTGGCTGACATGGAGTCAATGTGAACTTTTTAGCTTCTCTGACTGAATGCCCTCACCATCCCTATGATGTTAAGCTGAAAATAATGAAGGTTTTCCACTTCAAAAACAAGAGAATAAGGGCTGAAAAAGAATGACATTAGATCATCTGAATGAATTAGGGTAGAAACTTCTGATTCTAGGCAGTGTGAAATGAGTTTTTTTTCCTGAATTTTTTGTTGCACTTAACTTCTATGCTGTGTTGGGGTCCTCTTTATAAGTGAATCCATAAACAATGCTGATGTTGAAAAGGTTTCTGAATGGAGTATGCCTATTGAATCAACACCATCATCTGTGAGTTGAGACTTGCAATTGTTAACTCAGTCGTGAAGCCATTTGCCTTATTTTGCCTTTACAGTGAACCACAACATTGCAAGGTTATTGCTCACTAGGCTCTCTTATTTCCTCAATCATCAACTGAAGTGAATAATTACTAGTGTTACTCCCCCTTCCAATCTTCAACATCAAACTGCTTTTCCTTTCTCCATCCTAGATTTCCTGTGTATCAGAGACCTTTGAGGTCCCAGTTATCTCTTCAAAACCCAATTGTTTTGTATTTTTATTTTTATTTTTATAACTTGTGTGTTCATTTAATTTCTGAATTTACAAATGTGAAAGAAACACAGGTCATTAATATATCTAATGGATTCTGTTTCTTAAAATGACTTCCTAAATAATATATGTATTATATTTAGGTCTTTAGTCCATTTTGAGTTTATTTTTGTATATGCTGTTAGAGAATGTTCTAATTTTACTTTATCGCATGTAGCTATCCAATTATCCCAGCACCACTTATTGAAGAGGCTGTCTTCTCTCCACTGTATATTCTTGTCTTTTTTATTATAGATTAATTGACCATAACCACATAGGTTTATTTCTGGGCTCTCTTCCGTTTCACATGTCTGTTTTTGTGCCAATACTATACTGATTGGATTAATGTAGTTTCCTGATATAGTTCAAAGTCAGGGAACCTGATTCCTCCAGTTCTGATCTTCTTCCTTAAGATGGTTTTGGCATTTCAGGGTCTTTCATCTTTCCATACAAAATTTAAAATTGTCTCTTCTAGTTTTGTGGAAAATGCCCTGGTCTTTTCATAGCAATTGCATTGAGTATGTGGATTGCCTTGGATAGCATGTTTATTTTAACAACATCAGTTCTTCTAATCCATAATCAAGGTAAACCTTTCCCTCTGTTTGTATTATCTTTACTTTCTTTGATCAGGGTATTATTTTTTCTAAGTACAGATCTTTCACCACCGTAGGTACGTTTATTCCTAGGTGTTTTATTTCTCTTTTTTTATTCATTTTCTCTCATCCTGGAGGCTTTTCAGCAACAAGAGTGATCATTTTTTGAGAAATAACCACTATAAATCATTAATAAATTCCAACATGTGTGGTACTTGGGGGACTTAAATAATGTTTGAGAAAACAATTTAAAATTTGCAAAATGTTAAATATTTTTAGTATGTATGTGTAAGTATTCCTATTTCTGTTTGTGTTCTGTATTTGGAGAGTGGAATTATGTCATTCTCTTCATACTGATCACTGGTTTTGATAAATTTTGGAGGTAATAGCTGGTCAATTAATTCCTATGATTTTCAGAAGCACTCTGCTGAGGAAGCCAGGACATTCTGCTCCTGCTTCAATCAGGAGAAGGTCAATCAGGAGAAGGTTCTGTGTTGGAGTAAAATGTCCACTAAGTGACCTGAGTCACTCTGGTGCCTGAAAGAGTTTGAGTTATGAAGGTCAGTGATACTCTCTCAGGAAGCTCTAACTGATTATTTCATTTTTCAACTTAAGTGACTTTCACTGAGTTTGGCTAACTAGGGGTTAAACATGGGGAAGGGGCACGGCAGGAGTTGGGAGATGGGACATCCAGCGAGAAGTTACATGGGCTGCCATAGTAACAGGCCTGCCTTGGCATTTTATCCAATCAGATATAGACAGTGTCTGTGACGTCAGAGAAAGCAGGGCTTATAAACTCGGCCAACGACCTTCAACCGCCTCATTGCTCTTCCCTCTGAGCTATGGGGAATGGTGGCTCTGCCATGGCTGAACCATCCTCTGACAACTCTGAGGAAAGTCTGGTCACTAAAGAAATCTGCACCTCCGAAATGGAGATCTCAGAAACAGAGTTCTCCAAACCAGAGCCCTGTGATGACGAGCCAAGAAAGGAAAAGAAGAAGACAGCTAAGGGCTGCCGTCGCCGTCGCCGTCGCCGCTCCTGCCGTCTGAACAACATTGCAAGCTTCGCCACCTATTTCCCTAGAGTGCTGAGGCAAGTGCACACAGGACTGAGTCTTTCCCATGAAGCTTTAAACATCATGGATTCATTCGTGGATGATATGTTTGAGCGGATTGCTGAAGAGGCTGGGTGCCTGACCCGCTCCAGCAAGCGCTGTACCATCATGAGTGAGGACATCCAGACAGCTGTGTGTCTTCTGTTGCCTGGGGAGATTGGCAGTTATGCCATGTCCGAGGCCACCAAGTTGGTCATCAGATACAACACCCACAGATGAACTGCCTCACAACTATCTGACTATCGCAAACCAGACTTAAGGGTTCTCCCCTTAGGCCCTATATTGCATCTTCAAAACACTTCTACCCCCCAAGAAAATATTAAAAACCTCATTAACTTTGCTTCAATATGTGTTGGTTGTGTCATTTGTTCAATGGAAAATCATGTACTTTTTCTTAACGTATTGCAACTCATCACTTTCCTAAATGGTTATTCCTATTCATGGTTTTTCAGCGATTTTAGATATCTTTATGGTCAAAATTCTTCCCCTAAAAGTTTCATTGGCCTTTTTCATTTTCATTCTCCCATCTAGATTTAGGTGTCATCCAGAGATTTTTATATGGGGTATAGCAACCGATAAAAAATGGTGTGGTCTTCCTGGGTGGCCCAGCAGTAAAGAATCCGCCTGCAGTGCAGGAGTCACAGGAGAGGCAGATTCTATCCCTGGCTCATAAAGATCCCTGGGAGGAGGGCATGGCAATCCTCTCCAGTATTCTTTCCTGGAGAATCCCATGGACAGAGGAGCCTGGTGGGCTACAGTCTATAGGGTCTGCAAAGAGTCAGGCACCACTGAAGCAAGGTAGCACGCATGCACACAAAGAGCGGTGTATGTGTGTATGTGTGCTCAGTCACTCAGTCATGTCCGACTCTTTCTGACCCCATGGACAGGAGCCCACCAGGCTCCTATCTCCATGAAATGTTCCAAGCAAGAATACTGAACTGGGTTGCTCTTTCCTACTCCAGGGCTTCTTTCTGACCAAGGGATAGAAGCCCTATCTCTTTCATCTCCTGCACTGGCAGTCTGATTCTTTATCACTGCACCAGCAGTAGCAGATATAAAAATCACACTTACCCATTCTATTCCTTCAATCCCAATTCACTTCCGTGTGTAAAATAAGACTCAAACACAGTGTAAAATTCTTATTTTCTTAAATTCTAAAGTTCTGAAATCAAGCACCATATCTTCTGAAATTACCTTATCCAGATTTCTCTGATCCTGTTTTTTGTTTGCAACCTAGAACATTTTGTTTTAAAAACAAAACAAAAAACAAAACAAAACAAAAATCCTGACTGAATTGCAAACTTGCAGGGTTGGTGGGATAGTCCAGTGACAGTGAATGTAGCCACAGTCTCCACAGTAGCAGCCAATGAGGGACTGGTAGCCCATGAGCCAAAGCAATTGGCCAAACAAATGGTGGAGTGAGGAGGGCTGAAAAATAACAATCTTCCTGTGACACTCAGCTTAGAGGTGGAGCGGGAACGTGGGGTGATAGGTTCCCTGATGTTTTTCCATTCAAGCACTTGCTTTTAACTGTGGCGATTTAAGTACAGGCATCCATTTCTTGAGTGTCCCAGGTGGTGCTAGTGGTAAAGAACATGCCTTATGTGGGAAACGTAAGAGCCATGGATTCAGTCCCTGGATTGGGAAGATGTCCTGGAGAAAGTCACGGCAACCCACTCCAGTATTCTTGCTGGAAAGTTCCATGGACAGAGGAGCCTAGTGGGCTACAATCCATAGAGTCAGACACGACTTAAGTGGCTTAGCATGCACACATCCATTTCTTGGGTCTTCCCAGTTGGTTCTGGTAGTAAAGAACCTGCCTGCAATGCAGGAGACACAGGAGACCCAGGTTCTGTCCCTAGATGGAGAAGGTTCCCTGGAGGAGGGCATGGAAACCCACTCCAGTATTCTTTCCTGGATAATTCCCAGGGACAGAGGAGCCTGGTGGGCCACAGTTCATAGGGTCACAAAGAGTCAGACACAACCGAAGAGACTTAGTGCACATGCATGCATCCATTTCTTGTTGTGGGACATGTCTCTAGCTCCTTGCATCAAAATAAGAAGGAGGAGGATATTCAGCAATTAAGAGAAATAAGATGACTCCTTTTTCTACCTCCAGTATTTGACTGCTATTGCTTATGATAATATTTACTGAATTTAATGTCCATTGTGTTTTCTTCTTGGTGCAATGACATTTTTATTTCTATAAGTATATTGCTGAATTTCAAACTAGTTGGTGATTTTCCTAGTCATTTTATTTGTGTTTGAGATTTTTTTTATTTTTTTAATTAATTACTTTTTTAAATTGAAGGATTATTGCTTTACAGAATTTTTCCATTTTCTGTCAAACCTCAACATGAATCAACCTTGGGTATACCTATATGCCTTCCCTTTTGGAACTCCCTCCCATCTCCCTCCCCGTCCCATCCCTCTAGGCTGATACAGAGCCCCTGTTTGAGTTTCTTGAGCCATACAGCAATGAGCCATACAGCCAATTCCCATTGGCTATCTTTTTACATATGGTAATGTAAGTTTCCATGTTACTCTTTCCATACACCTCACCCTCTCCTTCCCTTTCCCCATGTCCATAATTCTATTCTCCTATTTCTTTTTTAAAAGATTGATTTCAAGCTTACTACATCCTTGGAGAGAGAGAAAGCACTCTGCAATTTCAGTCTTTTGTAATTTACAATGGTTTTCATTAGAACTTAATATTTCATTATATTTTATACTATTCATTTTGAACTTTAAGCAACAAGGATATGCTGTATAGCACAGAGAAATTCACCACTTATCTAATAATAAATGTAAACAGAGTATAATATATAAAACAACTGAATCACTACGTTGTAAACCTGAACAAATGTAATATTGCAACTCATGAATACATCCATAAAAAATTTTAAAGTTAAAAAGAATTTATCAGTATCACCGTTATTGGATGTAGACATCTGAGAAGGATGTGACTTTCAGCAAAACAATGAGAGAAAAGCTAGGAGGATCTACAAAATTCCAACCTCTTGACCCCAACTGTACTGTTTTCTCTAGGTCAGTCATGACGGGGTTGCTCTGGTAGTGTCCGACTCTTTGCGACCCTGGAGACTGTGGCCTGCCAGGCTTCTCTGTCAGGGAGCAGGTTTCTCCAAGCAAGAATACAGGAGCATGTTGGCCAATACTGCTTTCCATGGCTGTTCAGCGCTGGAGCGGCCTTGAGGAGATACCCCACGTCCAAGGACAGAGAAGCCCAGCAAGATGGTAGGCACTGGAGAGACTTTGAGGAGATACCTCACGTCCAAGGGCAGAGAAGCCCCAGCAAGATGGTGGAAGGGTGAATTCGCATTTAGAATCAAATCCCATCTCTGCCAGAGACACTCAGAAGGCTCAAACAAACCTTGTGTGCATCAGGGCCCAGAGACCCCACATAGACTGAGACAGAACTGGGTTTGAGTGTCTCCCGTGTAGGTACGGGTCAGCAATGGACTGCCGCAGGGGCAGGGGCCCTGGGTGCAGCAGACTTGGGTATGGCATAGGCCCTCTTGGAGGAGGTCACCATTAACCGCACCATAGAGCAGCCAGAACTTACACAGGACTGGGAAATAGACTCGTGAAAGGCACAAACAGAACCTTGTGTGCACCAGGACCCAGGAGAAGGAGCAGTGACCCCATAAGAGACTGATCCAGACTTGCCTGGGAGTGTCCAGGAGTCTTCAATGGAGATGTAGGTCGGTGGTTGCCTGCTGCAGGGTTGGGGGCAATGAGTGTAGCAGTACATGCATGGGGCCTTTTGAAGGAGGTCGCCATTATCTTCATTACCTCCACCATAGTTTGGACACAAGTAAATAAGAGGGAGGGAACACAGCTCCACCCATCAACAGAAAACTGGATTAAAGATTCACTGAGCATAGCCCAACCCATCAGAACAAGACCCAGTTTCCCCCTCAGACAGTCTCTCCCATCATGAAGCTTCCAAAAGCCTCTTATCCTTCTCCATCAGAGGGCAGACAGACTGAAACCACAATCACAGAAAACTAACCGACACGATCACATGGACCACAGCCTTGTCCAACTCAGTGAAACTATGAGCCATGCCGTGTAGGGCCACCCAAGACAAACAGGTCATGACAGAGAGTTCAGACAAAATGTGGCCCACTGGAGAAGGGAATGGCAAACTACTTCAGTATTCTTGTCTTGAGAACCCCATGAACAGTATGAAAAGGCAAAAACATAGGGCACTGAAAGATGAACTCCCCAGTTGTGTAGGTGCCAAATATGCTACTGGAGATCAGTGGAGAAATAACTCCAGAAAGAATGAAGAGATGGAGCCAAAGCAAAAACAACACCCAGTTATGGATGTGACTGGTGATGGAAGGAAAGTCCGATGCTGTAAAGAGCAATATGGCATAAGGAACCTGGAATGTTAGGTCCATGAAACAAGGCAAATTGGAAGTGGTCAAACAAGAGATGGCAAGTGTGAACGTAAACATTTTAGGAATCAGCGAACTAAAGTGGTCTGGAATGGTTGAATTTAACTCAGATGACCATTATATCTACTACTGTGGGCAAGAATCCACTAGAAGAAATTGAGCAGCCATCATAGTCAACAAAAGAGTCTGAAATGCAGTACTTGGATGCAGAATGACCTCTGTTTGTTTCCAAGGCAACCATTAAATATCAGAGTAATCCAAGTCTATGTCCTGACCAGTAATGCTGAAGAAGCTGAAGTTGAACGGTTCTATGAAGACCTACAAGACCTTCTAGAACTAATACCCAAAAAAGACGTCCTTTTCATTATAGGGTACTGAAAAGCAATAGTAGGAAGTCAAGAGATACCTGGAGTAACAGGTAAATTTGGCCTTTAATACAGCATAAAGCAGGGCAAAGGCTAATAGAGTTTTGCAAAAGGACTGCACTGGTTATAGCAAACCCTGTCTTACAACAACATAAGAGAAGACTCTACACATGGAAATCACCAGATGGTAAACGCCAAAATCAGATTGATTATATTCTTTGCAGCCGAAGATGGAGAAGCGCTATACAGTCTGCAAAAACAAGACCAGGAGCTGACTGTGGCTCAGATCATGAACTCTTTTTTGCCAAATTCAGACTTAAATTGAACAAAGTAGGGAAAACCATCAGATTATTCAGGTATGACCTAAATAAAATCCCTTACAATTATACAGTGGAAGTGACAAATAGATTCAAGGGATTAGATCTGATAG